TCCAGAGCCATATCTCAGAATCCCTTGGACCGATTCCGTTCATTCTTTGCATTTGCCTAGTACTTTATGTGGGACATATGCACATGAAGTGTTTTAGCGATTGGATTCAACATGGCCGACTGGCAGCCATCTTGTTTTTTGAAAATGTTGTATTTTGGACATGCTTTGTCAGTTTTCATTCAAACTTGGTACATAGATTATTACATGTTAGGATACATGTCCATGACGATTTATTTCACAATTGGATCAAAGATGGCTGACTGGCAGCCATCTTGTTTTTTGAAAATGTCAGTTTTCATTCAAATTTAGTACATAGATCATACATGTTAGGATACATGTCCCCGACCGTCCATGAGTTCCTGAGTCTGTCCGTCCGTCTGTCAGTCTGTCCAGAGTCGTATTTCAGAATCCTGTGGACCGATTCCGTTCATTCTTTGCATGTGCCTAGTACCTTATGTGGTGCATATGCACATGCAGTGCTTTAACGATTCGATTCAAAATGGCCGACTCGCAGCCATCTTGTTTTTTGAAAATGCAAAAATAACGGCTGTTTATTTTTGGCCATATTACTACTACGCGGAACACGTGTTTTGATGTAAATAAACAATCTGTTGTATACGCCACTTGGAACTCAAGTTTCAAGGACACGCTCGCGACAACCCCTCCGCTTTAATATGATGAGCTCAAAGAGAACTTTCAAAAATTTAACAGGGACTGTGTCATTTTCAATGACTTGTTAAATAAAAAAAATAGTTGTTTTCAAAAGATAAACTGAGCATTTGAAGAATAATTTAACATTATTTACAGCTATAACTCATTGTTGAAACTAAGCTAATCCATTCACGCTAGTCGCAATAAACATCAATACTCTTGAATAGGCGTCAACGAATACGGCGAAACTTTTAGGCATCAGAAAAGATTAAAATAACACCTTAAAAAACTGCCGAAAAATCGCCCTGGGCGGTTTCTTGGTCCCAATTTAGTTTTTTAAAAACCCGAACTCCCTGGGCGAATTTACTGCAGAATCCAGTATATGGGCTATGTATAATACATGGACTTTAAAGGACAAGTGTATTACATAACACTTCTGAACTACCAGGTCAAAGTCATTTCAATGTTTATATGTTTTGCTGCTATTAGACAAATGTAACAGTTGGAAGGTAGTCTTTTTCAGTACACATTGTGTTGGGTTCTGAACTACCTGGGTCAATGTTTTCCATGGTATTTTTCAGCATACATTTTGTTGGGTTCTGAACTACCTGGGCCAATGTTTTTAAAAAAAATGTTGAATTTCAGGTCAAGGTCATTCCAATGTTTATGTTTGCTGCTATTAGACACCTGCGTTGAAGTTGAGTTCAAGGTCACCCCCCCTTTTCAGGATTGGTTCAAGGTCTATACAAGGTCACATGTTCGAAAGAGCTCTGTTGTAATTGTTAACTGTGGATTTGAAGCGTAGGGTTGAATGATGTTTCAGCGGTACTTTTTCAGTTGCAAGGTCGCTTGTTTAAGTCAATATCCTTATATTGCCTTCAATTAAATTCAAAAATTTATTGAATATATTTGGGTATTTTCATTTCTAAGTAGGCTTCTACCTTAAGTTCTCTTCCATGCAAATTCTGAAGAAGTATAAACTGATCCATATTTGTCAAGTATTATTTATTTCAAAAATAGAGGTTAACCTAATGGAACAGACAAATTGATGGAGCTTTACAGTATTTAAACAAACTGGTCTGCCTATGCACCCAATTTGGGCGCATTTACTGACAGTTTTCATTTTGGTCTTCATATAAAACATTGATTACATTTTTTGAAAATATCACACTGCAATGGGAACTCAAATATGATTTGGTATCTATGTTACACCATTAGAACACTGTCCTTTATTATGAATGCATGCTAAAATGGCTGTTATATGCTATACATCTTAGGGTGCAATAATCTAAACAGCATCTAATATCAGTACTGCACCATGCTTGCTATGGGTTGCTGCCATTTGTAGTGATATCTTAGCTATTGGAACAATGTATTTATTATTTAATGTTACTTTTATAGCAGTCAGGTGCTCCAGTCACCCAGCCGCTTGAACCACAGGGAAGGTCCCCAGCTGCAATCGAATTTGGTCGCTATGAAATCCAGACGTGGTACTCATCGCCATATCCTCAAGAGTATGCAAGGTAATTCTTTTCTCCAATTATGAACGTCTAAATTGTTTTGGAGATGTAAAAATGTTAAATGCATTGTGGGTAAGTCTAATCAAAACTGGAGTTTTTCGTGACTTCTATTTGTGCAAAAATATTTGTTGACTGCTAGGCTACTAATCTATGAAGATGCATGTCTATTCAAAAAACTAATAATAACAAAGCATAATATTTATTTTCATTGTTTGAGTCGTCTGTATTCATTTTATTTTCAGATTACCCAAGTTATTCTTGTGTGAATTCTGTTTAAAATATATGAAAAGTAGGAGTATTTTAAAAAGACACATGGTATGTACTACTTGATATTTTCAGTTCTGTGCTTTAAGGGAAAATAGTTTTAGGGTATGGTATTGGCTTGTGACCATTTAATCTAACAGTAATTTCACGTTGAATCCATTTGTTTAATTACTGTTCTGTCTCTATCCACAGGAAAAATGTGGCTTATATCATCCTCCAGCAAATGAAATTTACCGACGAGGCGAAGTCTCTGTATTTGAAGTGGATGGAAATGTAAACAAAATATACTGTCAGAATCTATGTCTACTTGCCAAGTTATTTCTAGACCACAAAACTCTTTACTACGATGTGGAACCGTTCTTATTCTATGTACTTACAGTCAATGATAGTAAGGGATGTCATCTCGTGGGATACTTTTCCAAGGTAAGGGTCAGTAAAATTTTATTTATTATCTACATTCACAGTGCATGAGTAGTCACTTAGTTTTCACTCTTACATTACAAGCCTACTTGCCCACAAAACTGTCCCTGCTTTTGCTTCGGTCACGAATCTCACCTAATTTTTGCTGAGCAGGCCCAACAAATGTGCTATTCTAAGTTGAACTGCGAGATCATTCCTAAAGTTTTATTGTCGTTAGACTATTATGTGAAATATTTGATGATAGGAATTTGAACAAATTGTGGGATGTCCTAATGGTAGCGATCGTTTGCAAATTGTCTGCCCCAATACTTCTGAGACTTGCTGTAAATAACGGGGACTGTGACATTCACGTCTTGTTTAATTTTTAGTTACAAGTGATATTTTCGACTTCTTGTTGAAAAACGAGAGGGCGCTTTCCAATCTGGATGTAACACTTTTTTACCCGAGATGAGGCATTTGTTTTAATACTAAAATATCTGAATTACTTAAAATAAAGCTGAAAATTATGTCCTTTAAAGTAGAGATGCAATTTAATTAGCACATCAAGATGACCTTTCTTGTCCACAAAACTATATATTTTCGGAAAGCTTATTGTATGAATTTTAACATTTTTTTAGTATTTTTTTTTTATGGGCACTGTAATTTGTAATATGCACAAAAAAAATTAGCTTCTAAACCATGCTTCTGTTTCCTGTCAAAATTGGTTTTTGGGTACATCTGTTTACTATGAAGAAAGTGCTGTCTTGAAAACTGTCAATTTACCAGTTGTCAATTTTGCAGGGCAGCAGCTCAAATTTCACTACTTCAAATTTATGCATAAATTAACACCCTGGCTAGTTGTCTGCATGATTGTTGTAATACTGTTCAAAACAGATCTCTCAACCCCATTTGACACACACTATTACAGTATACACTAGTGTACACAGTATCCAAACC